AGTGACCATCTCCAGTAGGGTATTTCTTTGACACTTTGCCCACTTATCTGTGATTACAGGCTCCTGCTGGCCTTCCCTTTGCTTGTTTGGTCCTTCACCCATCAATCGCGTCCGTGCCCTGAAGCTACAAGCCATCTACCGTGGGACCAAGCTCTCTGGTACGTGTCCAGCACGTAGCGCAGCACACGCCAGCACTGGCTGCAGTGCTGAGGGCTATTTTACAGGAGAAGGGATAATTAACAGTAAGATCACACGGCTGGATATCAAAGACGTGCAGGGTGAGGCACTGAGTGATGAAAAAGAGAAGTCTGACTGGGCTTTCTCACACACACTTGACTTTTTCTAGGACCCCACTCAATTGCAGTAGCTCTCTGTCCCTATATCCACAGGAATCATTACTACAGGTGCTGTTACAAGCGATACCATTTGCAGAGTCCCTAATTCTTTGTGAGAGGCTGGCAAAGTGAAGTCCTGGCAGTGCTGAAGCAAATGGCAAAATCTCCACTGCTTCCCACAAAATTAAGGTCTCGGTCCCCCTCTGAGCCATACTGCACATCTCCCAGTCTGTCCCTAGCACTCCTTAGGAATTATTTTATAGGAAATACGACTCCACGTGGCAGCCACTTATACTGAAAGTGTATGGTATGGCACAGAAAGGCCTGGTCTTGGGTTCACATCTGTGAAGCAAGGCAAAAAAAGCAGGTTTTTCTCCAAGCTCCTTAGTATGCTTGAAGTCCATATGCTCCTCAGCTTAAAGATGTGTCCTAATGCTCCGTCCCTGGAATTTTCCAGCATTACCTCTCTGTTCATGTATCAATATGTGTCCAGACAATGTATTTGGGCCACACAGCCATTACATTAAGAAGCAAGAAACTGATAACGCCAGCAAGCCAGGAGGCCAGTGCGCTGACCCTTGCCGAAATGGTCATTGTTTCACAGGGAGATAAGAGTCTCCCACCTCCATGGGTGGGCCTCTGGAGTGACCAATGAGCATGGACAGGCGCCAAGGTCTGCTCTCCCCTTCCCCTTTATAACCAGGGCTGCCGGGCCGATGAGTCCAAACCTGCTCTAGCGTTCACTGCAAAGAGCCTCAGCCCAAACCCTCCTGCACAATGACGCTGACCCAAGCTGAGAAGGCCACCGTGGTTGCCATCTGGGCAAAGGTGGCTACCCAAGCCGATGCCATTGGGGCAGAATCACTGGAGAGGTAAGTCCCCCAGAACCCTCCTGAAGAGGGTGGCTCCCCTGGCTTTGCTGTTAGGATGCATCTTGTGTAAAACTTGCATGAGTGACAGCACACTGGGACTGGTGGGAGTGGATGGATGACCTCTGCGCTGTTTGGTATGTAATTTTCTGGAATTGTATCAGTGCTACTAAATGCTAATAGATGGCTTCAAAATCTTACAGCAAAACATAGTTCACTAAGCAATTCTAATGGTTTATTTCTCATTATAGCAGTTCAGGAGAATTCATAGGCAGGAGCCCCAGCACGGAATTCAGTCACTCATACTCACTGACCTGGAATAGGGTTATCACTGATCATAAATGAACTTGAGGTGGTTTATTGTGCAAGTGATGCCATTTCTCTTGCAATTCCTAGGCATTAAGAGAATACCTGTCTGCTAAATTCAGTGGACACTCAGGTTTCATTGTTCCAGTTGATAAGTAGCAAACTGTTCGAAAACAAGACAACTGGATCCCCTGCATGAAGTATAGCACAGTAATCCAAAATTCATACAAGTTAAGCAAGCTGGCACAAAAGGATAATAGTCTGGAAATTGTTGAGGAGTTATTATGTTATTCAAAATGGTTTAAATGTTGTTTACAGCTCATTATAAAGTATTGTGATACTCCTTCCAGGACTCTGAGTACCACTCATAGAGACTCTGGTTAATTCAGCTCATATTAGTTTGAAGATCCTGCAAACTGGCTTACAATGTAATATAGGAAATGTAGCGACTATTTGGGGCTATTGTTTATTTTTAAATTAAAAAAAAATACATTGAGTTTAAAATTATTTTTAATATTTAATTCTTCTCCAGTATATACAGATTGGCCCACTGTCTAATCTGCACATACTGCAGAAGAGCTTTAAGAGCAGAAAGACTTTCTTGATGCAAGCTTCAAGATCCTGAAGCTCTGTTCCTAGCACTGAAGGAGTGCACTTCCATGGCTGGCAGGTTTACACTGCACTTGCTCAGAGGTTTTACCCTCCCACGCTTGTCATTTCCACTGCTTAATCCCATTCTCATGTTCTCCAGGCTTTTCTCCAGCTACCCCCAGACGAAAACCTACTTCCCTCACTTCGATCTCAGCCAAGGCTCAGCTCAGCTTCGTGGTCATGGCTCCAAGGTCATGAATGCCATCGGGGAAGCTGTGAAGCACATCGATGACATTAGAGGCGCTTTGGCCAAACTCAGTGAGCTGCATGCTTACATCCTCAGGGTGGACCCAGTGAACTTCAAGGTGAGTAAGCACAGAGGCTGTCAGGGATGAAAACTGCCATAAACACAGATCATTCTGGCTAATGGCAGCTTGGCTACTGCACAGCCTCGTCAACTCATGTCGCTGCTTCTTCCCCACCGCATTGAATCCAATCCCACCTGGGACTGGATCTTTTAATGAAAGATCTGGTCTAGCTCAAGCCAAGAATTACTCAGGGGTCTCCTACATATTAGACAGACTTGAGTGTCTGCCGCCTTTGTTATAATTTATGAACCTCCCTCACAAGTCATGTCACCTGTCTTGAACAGACTAAATCCTAAACATTTCCACTTCGTGCATTTCCCTTTGGGAAGGAAGGAACATTTAGGAAGAGGGAGTGGTATTGAGCAGTGTCTTTTGCCCTATCCCAAAGGCAACTCTGCTTCTTCACTCACAGCATCAGGCAGCAGTGCTCCCTGGGAGCACTGTCAACCCAGAGCATGCTGGGACCAAGGTCCGTTGCAGACCCCTAGACTGATCTCTGTTACTGGTTATGATGGATTTCATCCTGGTTTCCCTTACAGCTGCTTTCCCACTGTATCCTCTGCTCCGTGGCTGCCCGCTATCCTAATGACTTCACCCCAGAAGCTCATGCTGCGTGGGACAAGTTCCTGTCCAGTGTTTCCTCTGTTCTGACAGAGAAGTACAGATAAATGGCCTGCACATCCATGGCACGCCCCAGCTGCCAGGTTCTGGGGTGTTCACCCCTTCCTCTGTAGTCGTCTCAAATCCCCTGTGCAGGGGCTTAGTCATCTGCAAAACTCAATAAATAATTCCAATGTGAGCTATGGTCTCCGTGCTTTCATCTCCATGTGTTCCACCTTACCGTTCAGGCGGGGGTGTTCTCAGACATCCACACAATATGGAGGGGAAAACACTAAGCTGTGTAAGAGCATGAACTAATTCACGTACTAATGAATTAATGTACTAATTCATGTGCTAAGCTGTGTAGATTCAGTGGGAATAACATAACATTGAGCAGAAGCTCAGAAAAGGCTAGAGCCCTGTGACTGCTACCGCTCACCACAGGTACATCAACAAAGATTGTTTCCACACTGTCCAGGAGACAGGTTTTTACCCTGCTAGGATATTGGAGGGACCCAGGCTTGGTGTTTGGCCTATCCAAAACCCATCACAGCCTGTTGTGAATGAAACCTGCATTGTTGTGATGTGCCCAGAGCTATGCCGGGCGTTGTCTTCTCATGCTCCTCTCCATGGAGTATGGACGAGATATCTGAGGTGCTCCATGAACACCCCGGGCTAGACAGGTCTGGTAAAGGGACTGTCCCCTCAGCTTGACATCTCTTGTTATTATATGGGGAACTTTACATGCATTTGAAAATTGGGAATACTGGTGGCCACTAGAGATCAGAGTTGATGGCATCTGGCGGACCACAAATCCCCAGGGTTTCTCTGGAAAGCAGTGATAGGGAAGAGTACAGAACTGATGGCTGTCCTAGGGGGAGCAGGGATCCTCCATACGTACGCGCTGTGATTTAACCTCGGTGGGCAGCTAAGCACTACACAGACCCCCTACTTGCTCCCCTGCCTCAGTGGGATGAGGAGAAGAGGAAATGAATAAAAGCAAGAAAACTTGGGACTCAAGATCAAACAAACAAACAGAAATAATTGTTTAGTAAGTGAAGAATAAGTGGAAGAAGAGGGAAGAAACCAAAACAAAACAGGTGATGCAAAGGCAATCATGCACCACCACCCCTGGGTAAACCGATCCCCAATCAGTTCTGAGCAAAAAAGATGGCTAACCCCCCCTAAAACTCCCTAACCCCCTTCTTTTCCCTTTTATTGCTGGTGCTATATTGTATGAAATACCTCTTTGGTTAGTTGGGGTCATCTGCCCAGTTGTGTTCCATCCCAACATATCGTGCACCCCAGAATCTGTTCCCTGAGGGGCAGAGTGAGAAGCAGAGGCAGCCCTGATGCTGCACAAAGGCTGCTCAGCAAAAGCAAAAAAAAAAATTAAAACACAGCACCATGTGAGTTGCTGTGAAGAAAATTATTTTTCAGGTTAAGTTCACTGCCCATGCCTGTCTCAGAGGAATTCTGACATGAAAAGGTGGGTGCAAAGCCTTAAGCACACTCTGATCAACAACCTGAAACGGCACTGCAAGATGTGGTCCGCATCTCATTTACAGAATTTCAGGACTGTGTTTGGGCAAGGGGGAGAGAGATGGTGCTGAAGCTCCGAAGCCACCAAATTGCTCTAAACATGTCACACTGTACCACAGCAGTTTTTAAAACATTCTATATTTGTGGGTCTTAGGTAACCTGGACATTTAAATGCACAACTTAGATGATAGGTAGGCACCCGGCGTGTCCCAAACCCCCGAGTTGTACTGAAGACTTTGTACAGAGGCCAAGCGAAAGATGTCACCAACCATGAAATGCCCTGAGGAACGTCCCAACAATTACGGAGAGGCAGGAGCACACTCTGGGGTGGGAAGAAGGGAAGAAGCTCAAGCCTAATAAGCATCACAGGATGGACTTTGGGAAGACCATACACCCAAAAAGGAGATTCTTCCCTGCCCAGGGCTGCTGGAGAGATGCTGTTTCCCATGGTAGGTTCCCAGCACAACCCAGAAGAGCTTGTCCATGTCTCCTGCTCAGAGGCTCACGAGCGAATTGGGCAGAGAGGGGCTGGATGGGACAGAGACACCTGTGGGACCCATCCTGACACCAGTGGGGCCAGGGAGGACCCTGGCTTGGCCAGGGGGCGAATGGTGGAACCTGACAGGAGGCTTGAGCACATGCCGCCCGCCAAGGCCAAGGCTGTGGTGCCAGTGGGACATGCCCATGGCTGCTGGTGACCACGGGGCAGCCCAGCCTGGCCCCCAGCTTGACATGGGGCTGATGCAGTGGGGCAAGGTAAGGAAGGGCAGCCAGGCCCCTTCCCAGGGCCTCCTTGGGGCTGGGCCCCCAGGGCAGCCGGGGCCTCCCAAGGCAGTGCTGCAGCCCCTCC